TATATATATATATATAAAGAGACAATAAAAAAGAAGGAAATTTACTAAGAGAATTAATAAGTTTTTTTTCACTAACTGGGCATAAGCTACTAATAAATAAAATCCATGCAATAAGATAAAAATTCAAAGAAAACAATGAAAGAAATAAAAGGGAAATAAAATTTTTAAGAAGAAGAAAAATTATTTAAAAAAATTATTGAAAAAAAATCTTTTAGAATTTAAAAAAAAAAATTTAAATAGCCAGAAAACAAAATAACAGAAAGATATAATCTCGTCATGTAATATCGATTTTTTAAAATAATTTTTTTGATAATTTTTCTTCTTCTCCTTTAAAAATATTTTTCCTTTTTATTTCTTTCCTTGTTTTCTTTGTAATTTTGTTTTATCGTATGGATTTTATGTACTTGCATCTTATGCGCAACTAATAAAAAAACTTATAATTTTCTTTTCAAATCTTTTTTCTTTAATTCTTTTTTTCTAATTCTAATCACTGTTAATAACAACCTTTTATAGTAGTTAATCAGTTTAATAGTTTTTTTTAAAATAATTTATAGGCATCAGAAAGTACTTCATCTACGAACGAAGATATGAAAGATTACTCATATGATACATTCCGAGAACCTGTATCTGGAGCACTGGTTTGAGATTGAGGCTCATGTGAATGAAAAACTATTGCATCATATCATTTTTTTAACAAACCATATGCACATTAATAATTTAAATATATATTTGAAAATTTTGTTGTTTTATTTCTTGACATTAAAATATTGATGATTATATTATAATAACGTTATGACTACTTTTGGGAAAAAAACGAGTGCACCATTTGTAAATATACAAATAAAACATTGAAATATGAAAAACATTCAAGATTATTGTACATTCTTTTGTACAGTGGGAAAAAAGCAGTAAATTATTTAACACTATAACATTTTTTATCCATTTAATGACCGAATTTTTACGAATAGGGAATCAATTTTAACAGTTCGATCACCTAACCTAATTATTTTTTTGTCAGAGTTAGTACATTGAGTTAGACCTATTAGTGTTTGCTTTACTTTTTTATTAACATGTTTATTGACATGTTCTTTATATGGAATCACACAGTTATAAAAGTCATCTATCCAAAGATAAATTCAATTCCAAAAGTAATTTTTTTTAATAATAATATGTTTTATTTTATTGTTTAACTTAATGATGATAAAAACCAAATTAGAATTGTTTGATACATAGATTTTGACACCAAACTAATTTTACGTAATTTAAAATTACAAAATCTAAAATTTGAAGATAATCGATCAAATAGTATATGAGAAAAAAAAGTTCAACTATATGATTTTTTGAGATGGCGAAACACACAAGATGTAAAATAAATAACGAAGCTTTTGAACACTCTCCTATCTAATTATTAGGACCGCATGTTTTCCAGATTGCAGGTACCCCCAATATTTTGAGGGTCAAGAATCCAAATCTGCCGCGAAAAAGGTACATTTAACCAAAGTAGGTACAAAGTGGGGACAAAATAATACAAATCTCTTTGTAAACAATACTTCTATTAACAGCATATGTTCCGGAAGACTTCATATGGCGGAACTATTGGTTCAATTTGAGAGATTCTATTTGAAGCTTTTAGAAAGGTTCCTTTTTCTACCCACATGCAAAAGTTGTATGGACCAAAATGTGAGAGTAGGAAGTTAAAATCTTCCTTCCTTTTTCAATAGCACTATAATTTTTTTTTTTTAATGTTCTAATATCAATATTGCAATCCTACGGAATAATTTCAAAATTGCTGAAATTAAATCTTTAAAGAAGTGGCAAACTTCCTTTCCTTATTTTGGGTGATCCTAATTTTGCAGAGGTAAAAATAACTTCATTTCTAAAAGTTTCAAGCATTCTCTTTCAAATTGTGCCATCAGTTTTGCCATGTAAAATCTTGCAAAAACTTTTGCTGATAAAAGAAAGATTATTTAGATAAAGTTGTTACTGAAGGGTTTGTATTACTTTGTCACCTATCTGTACGTTTTTGTACCTGAGTTTGCAACTTGAAATATCTCCTGCACTAATTAACTAACACATTTAAGGTCAGTCTCTGGAGCCATTAAGATTGACTCCCAGTACATGAATTAGAAAGAAAATTCTAAAGATGCTCGTTTTATGCTGCTCTTACTGCTCAAATAACCAAGGTATGTCATCCTATTAAGTACTGACACTCATGGAAAGAATTTATATCAGAAAATATATGTTTTGTTGTGCAACATTTAAAAAAATATCTAAATTGTCACTCGCAACCATATCAATTCAACCAAAATATGATATTCAAACATTGTGTGTCCTCCTTAAATTCTCAAACCATTTTTTCCCCTTAAAGATTGATAGGATGTTGCGTCCCTTGTTCCAGAAGAAATTATAAAAGGACCTGGACCTTAGCCATAAAGGAAGTTTTTACCATACTCCATCATCATCATAATTATAGCTTGCTTTCGAGAAGATTAACCTATCCATAACTACCAATGTATTTTAATAACAGTATTAACGTAACTATAAAACTGTTTTTTTTTTGCGCTGGAATAAGAAAATATTGATTAATAGTTAACAGTTTAGAAAAGTAAGAGTTTAATTTAACGCTCAGGAAAAACCAGTTAATTAACAGTTAGTTAGCGATAAAGGACTTTAATTTTTTTAGATATTATCAAGAGATTGGTTTGAAATTTTCAGTACAAGTTTATATTGTTAAAAACAACATAGTTACAAAATTTCAAAAATATATTTTAAAATTAAAAAAAAATTTAAAGAAATTTAACTGTGGAATTATATTGATTTTTTATATCAGACGAAATTCTTCCAAAAATATTATATATTAGGTAACATAAGAAAATCGTTGGGAGTAATCTATTTATTTATTTATTTAATATCGAAATAAAATTACTACCGAAATTTACATAAAAGAGCAGTCAAAAATGAGCATTTTAGGAAAAAAAGCATCAGATAGTGATAAAAGATCATATATAAATACAATGCTAAGTATAAATATTATAGAATATAATATAATTCCAAGTATAAATATAATAAAAGATCATATATAAATATAATACATTTTTTTTAGAAAAATTTCTTTAGAGAAGACATAAATCTCAGGCCGATGGCAGCTTACTATTGCAGTGACGTAATCTTATCCAAAATACAAAATATTTAATTTCCATTTCACTCCAATTTGCATTTTTCCAATTACCAGAAAGAGCCACCTTAAAGACAACATTTCAAAACGGATGGGAAAAGGGCCACTAACGGCCTCAGGCGCCCAGATAAAATTTGATGATGATGAAAAAAAACTTCTCCAACAAAGTGTTAATAACATTCATAAGTATATAGTATCAAATTTTCAGCTCAATAGAATAAAAATTTCATTTTGCATGAGCAGTTTGAAATTCGTAAATTTGCCAAAAAGGACATTTTGAGAAAAATGGCTTTTTCTAGTTATTTATTGCTAATTCCGCTTTCGAATGTATATTTTCTTTTTTTAAAACGTTAATTACTATAAATATTATGTTATGAACTAGTTAAATAATTAGATGCTTTAAAATTAAAAAAAAAATAAACGCAATTTTCAAAAACAGGCAAAATCTTACTTGGGTATACAGCTAGCTACAGCATAGACAAGAAAATGTAAACAAAGAGGCGTGGTCAAAACAAAACTCGCCATAACTTCGCCAATTCGGATCCGATTTAAAAAGTTTTCTTTTTAAAATGTTTAGTTAAATGTCTAGATATCATAAACACAAAAAATAGAAAATTCGATTTTTTTTTTGTGACGAATTTTCGTTCACTTACTTCGTCTCTTATTGCCTTAAACCAGTTAGTTAAACCAGTTATTACTAGTCTTAAACCTTTTCCGTCTTACTTTAAAACTCGATCTGGATAAGTAGCAGCTCTAAGAAAATAGCAGACAATATGATAAAAAAACACGAATAAAATAGTATAATATCAATTCGAATTAAAATCTTACATTGAGAAATTTTTAAGGAATAAATGCTTCTATAATAATCAACAGTCAGCATATGAGTGACATTTTCCATTTAATTTTTTGACTTGTTCAGAAATTATTATAAATTCAATTCACACAGATTTCAATAAAAAAAACAATAAAATATAACTATATATCCGCTGATGGATCCCATTCTAAATCCAATGTTTCAGATTTAGGTGTTACTTTGGCGTAAGAAAATTGTTTCTTGGCGCGAATGTAGAGCCCAACAGGAGTTCTGGAGCAAACTGATACTGATACTGCTACGAGAATGATACCGATTGCTGAAATGCATGAAATGATCAGAACAAAGTTTGCCAATTCCCAATTGAATTCGCATTTTAAGTCTGCAGCAGGAATTGTTCCAAGAGGGCGTCCTCGGAGATGAGGAGGGTTATCGCACCTGGAAATAAATTTTTAGTTAATTTGTGAAAGAAACGAAATACACTGATCCACTGTCTCAAAATGTTATTGAAGAATTTCTCTTTCGTTATGGTAAAAATTTTCGTATTTATCTCTCACTTCAACTTTAAAAACTCACATTTAACACTAGGTTTACGGGACGCGTTAGTTTCAAGCATTTCGAATTTTATAAGGAAAATTACAAAACCCGTTGGCATTTTTATTTTGTTATGACTTTTATCCATTGATCGAGGTAAATATATATTAAAGTCTATTTTCTTCAAAAGCGTTGAAATATTGAAATTCTCTTTGTGGTATACCTATCTCTACGGATATGCGTCACTTTGACGCGATCGTAATTTCGACAAAATTTTGAGTAAACGTGCAACACTACTTCGATCCAATATCCGATATCGTTACCATAAATGAAACAAGCGATAAACAACTGTTGCCGATAAGCAATAATAGAAAGAACAAACGCAGAATGTCAATTGATGTCAGAGTGTCTCGATTTTGAAGGTTTCTGTTGCTTAGTTCGAGTATTGAAAAATAAAATACTAGAATATTTCATAAATATATATCTCATATTTNATAAATGAGTTTGACAATGTACCGACACTACTTCGATCCGTTATCCGCTGTCGTTATCTCAAATGAAACAAACGATAAACAACTGTTGCCGATAAGCAATAATAGAAAGAACGAAAGCAGAATGTCAATTGATGTCAGAGTGTCTCGATTTTGAAGGTTTCAGTTGCTTAGTTCGAGTATTGAAAAATAAAATACTAGAATATTTCATAAATATATATATATCATATTTTTCTTATAGTATATAATTACATTGCTTTCTAAGTACAGGGATACCAACTGCTCCAGGCACGCCAAAATATTTAAAAGAAGGGTGAATAACTACTAAATATATTTTGTAAATACAAAGTGGTGAATTACATAAGCCTACGAATTATTTAGAAATAGTGATGGATAAAAATCTATTAAATTGAATTACTACCACTTTAAAATATATATTTGCTGTCCGGAGCAAGTTGGCATCTCTGTAATTGCTGTTATATGTATTCGTTCATGTGTCAAATTGACGCAGAGATAGGTATATACGAAACGTCCGTAAACCTAGTTTTAAATTCAGAGTTACTATGCATCATAAAACCAAGAGTCTGTTCCAGAATTTAAAGTTTTCATATTCTCTGTTGTAAAAAGTGAAATATTTTTTTAAAGAAAAAATTTCTAAATTGTTGATGAATCTCTCCAAGAAATATCAATTCTAAAATATTTCTTATTACACGCATCAAGTTTTCCTTAGTTGTTTTTTTAAGATTCCACTTCGAAGAAGCAATTTGAAATTACAATTTTGCACAGTAGTTTTCTCAACTAATATGAATAAAATTTGTTTGCCATTTATTGATGTTTAGTGATAGGATATTTCCAGCATGCATACACATTTACGAAAAAAATTTTGACAAATATATTTATTGATGTCAAGCATAATAAACTAGACAAAACTATTAAATCTCATGTAAAATTTTCATCAAATTTGTGTTTACTGTTTTATAAATTATTTTTTCCTGTTGCCTGATTCCATGAGATAAAAAAAACTCTGTAAAGGTCTGTGTATTGAAACGCCTTAATTCTTGCATAAAATTAAATTTCTTTTGTTTTGTCTGACATAACCACGAGGTTTGTTTTTAAAAAAAATTGTCACTTTCTTTGCCATCACTGGTTTTCTGCTAACTAGAATATTTTTTAAACGTAAGTTTTCGTGATTATTTGCTAATAATCAAATCATTTTTGAGGATTTGTCTTTTAACCCTTTAACTACTAACGGGACTCATTTGTCCCAACAAATGTTTAAAAATTACTAATGGGGTGAAAAGCACTTAGAAACTCATTGTAATATGTCCCAGTCGTAGAGTCGAACCAAGTATACGTGTTTCATGTGTCAAATATCCCCTAGATGGTGCTCAAGAGTTTCTTGCATGAAATAGCATAGTGATCTTGCGCTGGGACAGATATATCCCACTAGTATTCTTCATTGGGAAAGATATATCCCACTCGTATTCTTTATTGGAATTGTTATGTCCATTCATATTTTATTCATATTTTCTCAAATGAACATGGAAAAAAGAGCAAATATGAGTTGTCCAATGTGTAACGTCGGGTTATGCAAAGATTGCTTCACCCTGTATCATATCATGTAAAAAAAAGTCCATATAATTTTTCCGGAATGATAGATGTTCTTGTAGCAAGTCGATCATTACAGGTGGGACACATGTATCCCACCATTAAGTACGGCCGGGACATATATGACCCAGCCTCTAAATTTTATAACCGCTTGTCAGAAAAATGCCAAATACTAAATTTGCCTTATTTGTGACCTAGTTTGTCCTTTTGAATAATAAACGGGACAAAAAAAAAAAACAATTTTTTAAAATTCGTAGTCAAGGAGTTAGAGCTGTATGCGTACAAATATGTATACTTTTCGCAGATGACGCTAGGATTACAATTTGTCGTAAGACTCCCGGTTCCTATTTCCAATTGATTTTTTCACCTAAACTTGAAAAAGCTCACCATCCAATATTATTATACTTGTAGTTTTTTTCATCTTCCAAAATAACGCTTTGTTTCAATTCACTGAAACAAGCAACAAATGAATTCTGAGAACTCCGCACGCTAGCTATGATGCTACCCATAAAATAACAAACGCCGCTATTTTATGCAAATGTAGAAAAATAAGGGATAACACTCAAGACACGACCTGCTACACGACCTGGTATAATTTATAAATTACAGAAGACTCTTATGAATGGTAAAATTAATTTTCTTAAATTTGTTTTATGCTCACGACCTGTTAGAATTTATAAATTACAGAAGACTTTTATGAATGGTAAAATTAATTTTCTTAAATTTGTTTTATGCTCACGACCTGTTAGAATTTATAAATTACAGAAGACTCTTATGAATAGTAAAATTAATTTTCTTAAATTTGTTTTATGCTCACGACCTGTTATAATTTATAAATTACAGAAGACTCTTACGAATGGTAAAATTAATTTTCTTAAATTTGTTTTATGCTCACGACATGTTAGAATTTATAAATTACTGAAGACTCTTATTACAGAAAACTCTTATGAATGGCAAAATTAATTTTCTTAAATTTGTTTTATGCTCACGACCTGTTAGAATTTATAAGTTACAGATAACTCTTATGAATGGTAAAATTACGCATAAATTTAAGTTCGAATCACAATAATAAAGCTTTTTAGACTATTTAGCCTGTTCACACATCGTCTCGTAAGCATAACATAAGCGGAGGGATACACCAGAAGTTTTCTAATGTCTACATTCAATAAATCATATCATAAGGTCAATAAATATCAGGCAAATAGTCGTAACTTCAAATGGCGTCTAATTATTTATATTCAAAATAATTGCTCAAAACATTTTCCTGCTGTTTTTTATTTCAAACAAAAAAGAAATAAAGGAACAAATTTTTTCCCTACAATTTTTGGATTAAAAAAAAGCAATACAAAATAGGTTTTTTATTTCAAATAATTTATGAAAGAAAGAGTTAAAACTAATGTTCGAAAAGTTAAATTTAATATAGACTTACACTATATTCATTTTCGTCTCCTGTGATAACACTGTCATCCATACGATATTGCAATCACACTTCCATGGATTATCAGCCAAGTCAACATAACTGAGAGCAGACCATTGTTCTTTTTCTAATGGAGATTTCAACGTTCTGAAAATTTAAATAATGATAATATTTGAACATTTAGTAATTTTGACAGTAAAACTTTCATTCCCAGTTTGCTTTAGAGAAGAAACTAGGAAGTGGAATAATACTACTCGGGGAAAAAATTGAATAAAAGCCTTANTAGTTTGCTTTAGAAACTTTGGGAACTTCTTCGTTGAATAATAAGATTTTTTCGTATTTTATAATTTTCTTTTTATATGTTTTGCGAATAATGAGAAGGTTTGATTTGGAGCTATTGATTTTAACCTTCCACCTGCTGCACCAGGCTTCAATATCTGTTACATTGTTTTGTAGTCTTTTAATTGCATTATTTACATTTAAGGATCGGCTGAGTATCGCGGTATCATCCGCATAGAAGGCTGTTATACATATACGAAAAAGTGGTGAATTATATATGCCTACAAATTGTTTAAAAATAGTGGTGGATAAAAATCTACTAAATTGAATTTATTAAATCAAAGAATCACAATAATTAAGTAAATTTTGAATAAATTTTCTGCAATTCCATAAAAGAGTGTAAATTTTATAGTTCTATATAATGTTATACGCTGTTAGTCAGCTGTTTTTCGCGGCCTATGTGAAAGGTCAGTGTCAGCAAGCGGTGGAGCCTAAATATAATTTCAGTGTCAGCCACCAGTGGTTGACGCAGCCTAAATGGAAAGTTCAGTGTCAGCCACCGATGGCTGACGCGGTGCTCAACGTGTTAAGAGAATAAAAATAAATGTTATTTAAAAATTCGGGTCATTCTAAAATTTAAGAGAATCACATTTAAATGTTCTTAATGGTTCAATTGTTTCATTTCAATTATCTACTATATATTTGCAACTATAATCACTTCACCGTAAATTTCTACTAAGTTTTTATTAACTCGGCTCGGGTGGAAATTAAAATTTCGACTACTTTCTGACTAGTGCTCAAATCTCAAGTGAAGTTCAGTGCCTGATTGCATGTTTTCACAGAGTGTAAATTTTAAAATGTTTTAATAAAAATTAAACAAAAATCGATAATTTTATTTCTGTATAACCACCACTAAAAATTGTTTTCAAAGAAAGTACATATGCATGAAAATTCCAGCTTCTAAACCACTTAACGACAAAGTAATATATTAAAATAAGAAATATTTTCTAGCGTTAACCTAAATTTTCTATCAATACTTAATTTTTTCTAGGGCCGCTGGAACCCTGTTCCATAGTTTTCTGACAGCTTACACATAAGCGAAGTTTGTCACAACAATTATCGTCACAGAGAATTTATCGTTAATCAAAATTCTTATCACCTTCTGACTAACCAGGGGTGAAAGCGAGACGGAAAAGAGGAAAGGCTGGTAGTAAAACCATTTCAGTTATAGCTAGTTTTGGGGAGGAGTTTACTTATTCCTTTTTTAAATGTTTCAACAATATCTACTTTATCTTGGAAAAGAAGCAGTTTTATATATATGCCAGAATTATAAAAGAAATCTTGATAGTTACAGATATTTCATTTTTTTCGAAAAAAATGCTGGAATGAAATGTTTCACGTACCAGGTATTTCTCTTTTCCGTCTTGCTGTATAAGGGCTTTCACCCATGTGACTAACTAAAGCCCATACAACCATTAATATATAATCAGAATATGTCACTTAAACTAAAGAAGCTACTATATACAGCAATGATCCGCTCAATACTTACCTATGCCTCACCTGCCTGGACAACGATACCTCAACCTCTACTGAAGAAATTAAACCAATGCCAAAACAAGATCCTTAGAAAAATAACCTGTGCAAGATGGTTCATCCGGAATACCAATATACATGCAGACCTCAAAATACCAACTCTATCACAGCATATATACAAGCTAAACGCAGATTTTTTCGATAAAGCCATAGAATGTAAAACAGCAAATTTTAATGAAATCTTTAAATTTGAAAATTATATCAAAGATAAAAACTACAGACCAATAGCTGCACATTTCACCTCCGACGCTTCATATCATAACTATCAAAACAAATAATTTCATCAACCTTTCTGAAAATAACGTTTACTCATGCTGATACAATTCTGAACAACTCCAAAATCAAACAAACACAGTTTAGAGCAAGCTGCTCAATTTATTTTTGATTCCTTTTTAGTTATTCAAGCAAAGAGCTTGAAACATTCATAAAAGCAACTCCATTGCCTGCTTACCTCATTGCTCAACCAAAACTGTTCAAAAATTCCAGATGAATGGGATAGGGGCCGCTTCGCGACCCAGGTGCCCAATAAAATCTAAACACTAGGACTAGGACTAACTAAAGCTGTCAAATCTCCAGTGGAGCTATCTGCCTGCTGACAATAAAAGTTTAAATCGTCTCTTAACAATAAATAGAATTTATCAATTCAAAGCAAAAATAAAGAAATTTTTTTTTAGAAATTACATTATTGAAGTAGATTAAAAAGGATTAAATAATTATTATATTTCTATCAAACCTAAATTAAAAAACGTAAGGCATTCGTTACTACCCATAATTAGCTTAATTCTATCGAAAGCGATGTGCCTTACATTTTTAATCTGACAAAAATAAAATAATTTTCTCTTTTTTGTTTATTAAAAGTTCATTCGCTTTTACCTCACCTTAATGCGTTTTGCCTCAAATACAACTGTTCACGAGGTGGTGTTCTGTAGTTAGATACTGTTGAATTCTTGCTGCCAAATGCTTCTTGATCAATGAACATTAATTTAGGATTGAAACTACAATAAAATGCCTTAAGATTTTGAAGTCCTGCCAGGGCGTCCTTCTCAATTCTTTCCAATTTCGGGAGATTATTGAGGTATAATATTGATATTTTAGAAAGTCTCCTAAAATCTCCTTGCACTATAAGAAAAAGTCAGCATATACTTAAATTCCAGAATAATGATAAATAATACAAAATAATGACAAACAATGCAGAATAATGATTAATAATGCAGAATAATAATTAATAATGTATAATGAAATAATTATAAATAAAACAAATTAAGTTAAGCTGAGGTGATGATGCTAGCTGATTTTTTTTTAATCGCATTGCAACGAAACATTTGGGACGCGCTGGTGTCAGAGTAATACCACTCATTTTTGATAGTAATATAATTGTTACGGTAAAAACGTGAAGTCTGGTATAGCCTTGGTTATACCGGAAAAAATTAAGCTTTTACCAAAATGACTGGGTATAAGCCCGAAGCATGCTTTAATATGATTCCATTTCGGCCTTTTTCTAACCCGTTGAGGTAAAACCTAGGAGTTATATCAAACCACTTTGGTAAGCCCTTTAAGACCTGATGAAATTTAATGAAAAGTACTTTTATTTATAACTAGCATAAAACATTAAAGTTAGAAAGTTATTTTGTTATGAACAATAATCTGCGAAGTTAAAAAAATAATCCATGCGCAGTCGAATAGATTATTAAATAATTTTCATTTTTACTTTTGAAATGAAGCAGTTAGGATATTTTTAATTTTAACATGGTAGCTAGTAGAGAAGAAAATGTTAATTCAGTTTAAACTTGGTTTAAAATGAATTTATTACCAACATACACATATTGGCTTTATATCTTATCTCCACAATCGTGTGGTCTTAATGTCTATATTTTAGTGGTAAAACCTAGAATTTACAGGACTTCGGACTTTAACAGTAGCATAATCACTAAAATAGTAATAATTTTCATTTTATAAACATTCACCCTCTTTAAATTTCGAAAATTTCAGGGATCAAGAAAATTGCCTCAATACAAACAAGAATAAAATCTCCGCAATTTTTATGGTTATTCTCCGATCAAATTTCGAAATTTTGGTCTAAAGTTTTAGAAAATAGCAACTGAGAACTGTGATGATTCAGGTGATAGAGCGTTTGCCTTCGAATGAGGTGAACCGGGTTTGAATCCCAGCGATGATGTTTTTTTACCTGACCTTCAAGTTTGTAGCTGCTGAACAGAATCCCCTTCCTTACACTGTAAACAAATGACAAATTCATGTTCATTAAAGCAAATGCATGAACACCACAAGTGAAATACCGAAAAAGGTGAAGTCATTTCCACTAAGATCCAGACTCTCCAGCATTTCGGCTTCAGACAAAGCTTCTTCGGGAACTGTTTCAAAAGCATTGTTGGACAGCGAAAGCCACTGAAGATGAGGAGTTGGCTTGAATATTTCACTTGGTAATCTAACTAATCCTGTATCTTGGAGATCCAATTTCTGCAAATTGGGTAAGTATCTGTATGGTAGAAAAATAACATTTATCGTTTATTAATTGATATCAATTTAACTGGAACATAACTGTATGTTATACCCAAAGGAGGAAAAGCTGGCAGTAAAGCTACTTTATATCTAGCTGATTATAGAGAGGAATGAAATGTCTCTGATTGCCAAAACTGATTAATAATTACAACATACATACAGTGTGTTTTTTATAAGATAGCAAAACTGATTAATAACTACAACATACATACAGTGTGTTTTTTATGAGATAGCAGTGGGAATAGGTTGAAATTAAATATAGTAAAAGATTTGAAAGTGCAGTTCTAACTTTATTTTTTGACCCGTTTAAGACTACTGTATTGAAAATGCAACAATTTGTTTAGACGTAAGGAACACTGTATGAAAAAAGCTCTAGGACATTTATGAGCAGATCAATCCGATATTTTATACTGTAAGTTACCGTTTTAGTTTTAAAAATACCGCAATCGTCTAATTTCAGATCAAAATATAAACATTAAAATATTTAATGAAATATGGTGATAAAATAAGGTATTTTTTTCTGAAATGCAATTATAGTCAGGGTTATTTTTAAAAAATGAGATAGAAATTAAAGCTTTTACCATAATTTTTTTTCTGAATACTAACAATCCTACTGGAGTAAGACATTTCAACCTACTGATACCAACCAATTGGAAATGATGAAACTCTCAGCAGAATGGCACGAAGTGCCATTGAACGATTCATCGCTTCTAACGACTTCCTTATTTTGCAGGTCAAAAAATAAAAAATAACTTTTATAAAAAAAATTGGAGATTATCATTAAAGTACTTGCATATCTGACCTAATTGGATCTTTTGACATAAATAGGAATATATTTCTTTTGGCATAGATAGGAATAATGGTCATCCTCACATTTTGTACACCTTGGTTTATCCGTAACATTTATTTCAAAAGTATCCGTATGCTTGCTATTGCACTGGATTATTGCTATTGCCCTTCTAAATTTCTCTTCCCAAATTAGGTAATCGGTATAAAAATGCAAATCCGAAATCGACTGTTGTTCGATCATATCAACGAATAGCAAAAGAAAAAGTTAGAGAAGCCAGGCTTGTAAGTAAAACGAAAAAGAACAGACAGTGCAACCATATCATTTACAGATGGTTTTCTTAAGGAGTAAACATGTTTTTAACTAAAAACTATTCCATTATTTAATTTTTCGAGCAAGAGGCAGTTCTATGTATTTAATATAACTGTTGAAAATTTTTTTATGTCATGGATATTTTATTTTTTCGAAAACAGGCTAGTGTAAAATGTCTTTTTTACAGATTTTTGATATTTTTCGTTTTGACGTATGCAGACTTTCAGTCCTGCTAGTGGCTTAACTAGTGTTTCTTTTAAACTGGATGATATCCATGGTCTATAACCCATCTTTAGCTTAATTAACAAAAATTTCTGGATAAAATTCAGTAGGAATGCTCCAGATTAGAACCTTAAAATGTTTCTCTGAAGTAACAGTTCTTGAACAGGATTTATTTCAGAGGTCTTCACTGCATTAACTGCAGGAGTCAGATTTTCTTCCACATTGGAATTCAGAGCACTCGTGATGATAGATACAGCTGGTGATTTTAGGCTTTTTCTTTCTTTTCATTTTTAGGGGAGTCAGTTATCCAAAACATAATCCGGCACATCTGCGAGCTGGGAGGATACGTTTGAGACTGAAATCATAGGAACCAAAGCCTCCTTTGAAATTGGTGATGTCAGCCAGTTGCGGCAGCAGAAGAAGTTACTGTTAAACTGTTCTGTAAAGTATCAATCAGCACATGACTATCGATAGGCACCGAAGAAGACTTAGACAGTAAATTCCGTTCACTGAGATCACTCGGTGGCGATATGGTCAGAGTGCCTCCTTTCTGAATCACGATGTCAGGAAGCTGTAAACAACCAAAAAAAAGAGAGAAAATTTGAAAACATTTCCCCAATTATCCTCGTAAATGAAGCTATATGAGAAATTTTCAGAGTCTTTATGATCAGGGTACAAAATCTTAGTCTTAAGTACTGAATTAGAAACAGATGGACACCCCGATGAGCAGAACAAAGTCCTAAACGTTGAGTCCATGTTGAATTTAGTTCAGGGACTGACGAAGAACAGACAGAACTGTAGAAGTACGGCTGCGAGAAAAAATTGTCTCGTTTCGTACAATGCGTTTAGAATACATAAATTAGCCTAAGCGTGGAGAAATTTCTATTCAGACGATTTCTTCAAAAAGGGCGGAAGAAATGATCAGCAGACGAAATTTACATGCGTGGAATCAGAAAAGAAAAAGCAGGCGATAATATGTGAAACAGTTGCAATGCAAGTCCCTCCTGCTCCAGCCAGATCAAATTCTTCTTTATCTTTCTCAATGCCCGACCACAAAAAGTGGTCTACATGTGAAAAAGTGGTCGTACTTATACGTCTACACCAATGGGTGTTTCTTTCCGTCACTTTAGCTATAAGAGATTCTGTCCATAGATTTCAGATCAGCTAGATTCTGAGAAGCTAGTCGCATAATGTAACGTTGTTATATAACATTTTTCTGATAAAGATATTTAGTTACCGTTTCATAATCATTTAAAGCTAAAATAATTATATTTGTTTTTATAATAAATTTTAAAAAAATTTGTTCAGTCAACGCAAAAGATTGATATAATATTTAATGAGCATTGAAAGTTACCAAAAATTAAAGGGATAATCAATTATCACATAATTAACCATTATAAATTATAAATTGACCACAGTAAAACTTTCCAAAAATGAAAACAAAAATTTATTGCCTTTTTCGATAGTTTGACAGTTGGGGATTTTTTTTTTAATTTAGGAGTACAGGAAGTTATGGATGAGTTATAACATTTAAAAAAGAAGTTATAAACATTGTGTAACATATATGCGCAAATTCTTTAAATTTTCTATTTGTAACATGATAAGACAAATATTAAAATATGTATAATTCGATTTAAAAAAATTATTAAGATAAGTTTATCATAATCGCCTAAAATTCGTTAAAAAAATACATTACAGGCTTCTATTGTGCTGTCGCCCCTTAAATAAGTAATTAAAAAACAAGTTAGTACTTATACTCAACAAGAGAAAGTTGCTCAGGTAACCAATCAAAATTATTAGACTTAAATTTTATCCTGATATGGAATCGGGAGTTTAATAGAGGAATTAAATCAGTGTTCGTATAATAAAAATTTTGGGACCTTGTAATTGAAGTCAGATGTAACAATCTGTATATTACTCAAACAATCACAAACAAAAATAATTGAGAAGTAATTGTAGGAGTTGATGAGCGAAAAGAGCTGGGCGTAGCTCCCTAGATAACAAAAACTAAATTGTTATCTTTTAATTGTTGTTGTTGACGTATGCCATAAGGCAGAGGAGGTGAGATTGTTCTTGTTTTCCAGTGGTGCCATCTATGGCCAAGAATTCGACTTCTGCCACACCCATACGTCACATCCGTTTATAGGATGGGCCAATTTATGCATCCATTCATTCATCACAGATCGTAATTTTGACCTGAATCAGAGAACGATCAATCTCCAATTCAGTACCCCCAGAGGTATTGATTTGTTATGGGAACATGGAGGACTTTGAGACTCGACAGATTTAACGTGCATCAGTCATCATTTACTGCACGGGGAGTCTTCGGCCAACAGGGATCGAACCCACGACCACTTGGACATGGGCCGAGTGCCCTACCTACCAGGCTATCCCGGCCCTATCTGCTAATTAAAATATAATTATAACACTTACTGAAGCATATTTTCTGGAAGTTCAAATACAGGATTGTATTGCATCCTCAGTTCTTGCAGAAGAGGTGTTGACTGGAAGGCAGAGGCTTTAATTCTCTGAATGCTGTTGTAACCAATTTCTAAAATTCTCAAATTTTTCAATCCCTCCAAAAGACCAGGAGTAATCTCAGACAGATGATTATGGGATAACCTCAAAAGAGCCAATGACATGAAAGGTTGTAGTGTGAAGTTTTCAATCTTCATTATTTCATTCTCTGATAAGTCAAGCTCTTCTATGTGGTCCACTTTCGAAAATGTGCTCATGGATAGTGCTGCGATGTGATTGTTTTGGAAATTTAAGCTTGTAAGCTTGGAAGAATCGAACTGTAAGGAAGTAGGAAGCTGCTTGATATATCTCTGGCTGCAGTCCAGTAAAGAAAAACTCTGCCCTGGATAAAATAAACACATCAAATAAATACAATATGTAGAATTTAATTCTAAAACTGGATTGATCTTTCTTTTATCAAATTTAAATTGAATAGTTTAATTAACTTTCTATTTACTACGTTTTGCTTAAAACAGCTCCTTCCTATTATTTATTTATTTATTCATTTTTTATTTTTTTATATTTTTTTTCATTATTACCCTCTTTAAAAAATGAAACACGTTGGATTGACCAGTATTTTTTAATTTGGAGCAGTATTTTTTAATATGGCAGCAGCCGTCAAAGAAATCAAATATGCTCATGTATCCTTGATCACCCCTGAGACCCTTTAGCTTTTTCTTTGAGTTGCGAAAAAATTTGCCTGAGTAAGAAAGATTAAAAGATTTAAACAAATCAAAGGACCTTTTATAAATTTTATTTCGATTTATAGTTTTTCTATTTTACTTCATTTCCTTTGACCTCCATTTCATTTTCATTTCAATTTTTTTTACACATTTTCATTTCATTTTCAGTTAAAAAGGTTTGTTATTTTAAGTAAACAGAAAGAAAAATGAGAAAGATAAGATAAGGAAAGAAAGAACGCATAATAAAAATATAGTAAATGTGGGAAACGTAGAAGTATAATGATGAAATGTAGAACTGTGTAGCCGTATTGCAATACTACCAGCTGCAATACTGCCTTGACAACATTCACGGAGCGAACACTTAAAAGCTAATAGATTCTTGGATTTTCAGTAACAACTGCAACGCTAATTTAAGTCATTATTTTTCTTTGAATTCGACAGGCGTTTCGTAAGCGATACTTATTAGATATTCGATAGAAAAAATATAGATCAGGAAAACCGATCAGGAAAACCAAAAAATCCTAATTCATCCGTTTGTGAAGACAATACTTCGGTAGTTTCATACTATCCTTTAAAATATAACTCCAGGGAAAATGCCCCTTTGTGCTGACTTACACAGGGCAGAAAGCCTATATAAATCGAGATGGAAAAGAGTAATAACTGTAACAAATAAATTTCATTTTTTAGCTTTTTTTCGGAATAATAAAAATCTATAACCAGCAATTGTTATTAAGGGATACAACTTTTGTATTGAATTGCTTCTTCGCTGAGAAAAATTACTTACAATGAATTGTTTATTGCTGAGAATAGACTAACTCCTCCCAAATGCTATCTAATATTGAAATAGTTTTCCTAAAAGTATTTTCTCTTTTCCGTCTCGTTTTCAGGCCTTGACTTACCCATTGCTTTTTGAAATTAAGGAAGGCAGATAAGGCAGGCCAAAAGATGGACCCATCGTAATCAATTCATGCATTCGTTCTTATTCTATTAGTTTAATTCTTTTCCTTCTTTTTTATCAGTCAACTAAGTAATATATATGCAGAAAATTAAATTCTTTTAAACATTATATTCATTCAAAGCTGAAGAAGACCAAACTGATACTTAAAAAAAAATCCTTTTTATCAAATAAATAAATAAATAAAGTTTATCGAAAAAATATAAACATAGGGAAAAAGCGATGATTTTTTATCACATCACGTAATACAAAATGTATATTTTAAAATAAACTAAGAGTAATGTTCTTGAATAATGGCAAAAAATAAAAATATTTTACTGAGCAACATTAATGTAAATTAAATATTTTAATTACAGAAATTGTATGACATCTAAAATCATTTAAAATAAAACAAGCGCATTGTAGCTCAAAATTAGCTTCACCATTCAGTTGGGACTAAGTTAAATTTTAACATTTATAGTTAGTGAATTATAAGATATTTTATGAATGTTAAATTTTAAAACAGTTTTTTAAGTGCTTTTTTAAATTAGAAATAAAGCTCGAAAACAGTAATGAGTCTAAAACTAACATTCGAATTTCGCGTTTTGATATAATATTGTATAAAAAAATGTCTCTCTCTGTATATATATATATATATATATATATATATAAACTCCTCCAATTC